TTTTTTTTTTTTTTTATAAATATGTGATAAGGAGTAAAGCAAAAGGTCCCACATTTTTTTTCCCTTCTTAATAAATTTCAGACACGTCAGCTATTTTATTTTCTTTGACAATTTTCTCCCCAAGTAAGCTGAACCAGAGGTTGAGATTCTTGACCCAGTCCAGTCCAACCATCTATCTCTTTCCTCTGCCTTTTCATAAATATAATAATAATAACAATAATAATACAAATCCATCCTATCTCTTTCCCGGTGAAGTATTGAATTTATATTTGATGTATTGGTAATATATAAATATAATATTAATGAATTAAATATTATAATTTTATTAATAAACAAATTTTAAAAATTAAAAATTTCTAAAAAAAATCATGTGATTTTAAAAAATGTTATTTAAAAAAATTTAAATTTAAATTTTTATATATTTATAAAATAATATTTTATAATTAAATGATAAGATATAAAAATTATACACGGATAATGTATAAAATATATACTTATCCATATCAATCAAATGATTAAGGTGTGATACTGAATCAGCTATATTAATTCATTTTTAAAAATTAATTAATTGAATCCTTAATTTGTGGATGGAATCATGTCATGTTGTTATATTTAATTATTTATACCCTTTTTATTTAAGTTAGTGTAAAAATTCCATGAAATCCCAAATGGACCAACTCAAGCCAATTTGTAATAATATAAGTAAATCCCACATGAAAAAAAAAAGAAAAAGATAGACAACCTTTGATCTTATCCCCTCCAATCATGAATTGTATTTGTACTGTCCATAGTACACAGAATTCCTGACACTGTCAAACATTTTATATTTTTGGTCTCATCATGGGAGTTGATTTTCTTTCTAAAACACTCTCAATTTATCTTATCTTTTCTTTCTTTCATGGCAAATGTTCTTTTCATTTCTCAGCAAAGACATCATGGCCAAACAACAATTAAATCCTGAAATCCCGTCTTAATTACCCCAATTATATGGACCAAATAAACCAGAGTCATTAATAGCGATTTGTCTAGTGACAACATTAATTAGCACCTTTGTCTTGTTATTATGAGTGTTTGAGGGTTATAGGTAGTGGTGAATAATTCAATGATATGATACCCTTTTCCACCTAATTAATTTGTCTTGGTTGGGCTAGCCATGTCTTATTAGAAGTCAAAGTGAGTATTTGGTTGATTAAATTGAAAAGCCAAATTAACGAATTCGTATAAAAAATTATTGAAACCAACCATATTACAATAACGAATCGAAAAAAGATTATTGATTTATTTTGACTGATTACTCGATTTGAATAAAATATGCTGTAGATATATTTCAACAATATTAATAATATAATATAGTTAACATATATATTATTTATAATTGATGTTTTTACCGATTCAAATGTAAATTTTAGAGATTAAAATCGATCAAAATAATTGAATAAACTATTCATAATAACATATTAATATCGAATCTGAAAATCAATTCGGATTAACTGAATTCAAATGATTTCCATCCCATCCCTAATAAAGAGCAACGTCACTTTTGGCAACGGTCTCCTTGTGTTGTTCTAGATTGTTTTCATCTGGCTATAATTTTCAAACGTGTCAGTCAACTGACTTATCTTTCAGTCTGGATTGTAGTTTGAAAGCAAATGCTGGTCATTTGCATTCAAACAAAAAGGGTATTGCATGTTAATCAAAATTAATAAATACTCCTATTTATAATTTGTATTCCTAAGAATTATTATTGTTTTTACTTTTCATTTGCCTTGTCTTTATAATTCCAATTCCTATCAAACCATACACTATAGTAAATAATATAAAAAAGATTTAAATGCATTTAAATGTTACATCAAGTATTTTAAAATAAAAATAAATAATGTGTTTTAATTTCATATTGAGTAGGTAAGAGATCTAGATAGACTTATAAGTATAAACACTATACATCGACATCAAATTAATTTTTTGAGGAGAAAATAATGACACATGATATAATGATATTAGAGTAAATCCAATATAGATCCGGTCAATATTAAACACTTTTAGAGGTAGATAGGACATTTGTTAACATTAGGCGGAAGAGAATATCATTTTAAATGTAAAAAATAAATAAAATATTTTAATCTCTTATAAAATGAGTAAAGTAATTCTGATAGGCTAATAAGCATATGCCAAATATTTTAAATAATCACATATGCAATACATAGGGAAATCATGACTGACTTATAAGTAATAGTCAAATATTTAAAAAAAAAGTTTCAATTTGTATAAAAAAATTTCAATAAATTTATAAACGTCAAGGTTACACCTTCAAATCAAACTTAACATTTTGACAAAAGATAACGACTGGTGACATAAAAAAGGAGTAAAAAATAAAATAAAATGTAAGAAGGCCACGTGTCATCTTAATATGGAATTGGCAAACAAATTTAGACATTTTTGATAGTTGACTTTAAGAGGCCACCGCTTCATACAAGGACATTGGTGTAATTCCAAGCAATAACGGAGCTTTCAGGAACCGTTGCTCGGTGACCGCATCAATCTCCCTTTTTTTTTTTCTCGTTCTTTCTATTGAATGCAATTAATTTCTTTTTATCCTAAACTCATTAAAGGCGGAAGCAACCGTTTCATAACAGCTATCAGAAATAGGTTTTTCCGAATTTGCCCCTTAGGATGCGTTGGTGCCGGAAATGTGGCTTTTCTTGTCATTAAGGAAAAAGTCGAGAGAATGATGACTTTCTCCCCTTTGAAAAGTATGCCCTTCATACTCCAGTCTCCGTGCCCTAGTTTCCGCCATAGCAACCGACAAATAATCCTGTTCCTTCCTAATCATAATATTGCAAATGAGCGAGTGTTAGCTACTTTTAAATGTCTAAAATACCCATTCATGACACGTAGATTGATTAGTGTGAAGGACATTATGTTTTTCTTGCCATAAAAAGAAACCTTTACTCACATACTCCAACAATTGCTTTGATTTATACTAAAACAATCTTTTAACTTAAATTGAAAATTAATCATTACAAAATTTAATGTTAATCGATCTTTTATACTTATATGAGATATGACGTGATCAATTGATGCGATCATGTGATAATTAACGTATTTGATCATTTTAGTCATATTAATTGTCACGTAATTATGTTAACAAATTAAATTATATATCTTTTGAATATTAAATAACAATAAATATTGTATTTAATGGTAGTTAATTTTTTTATTAGGATTAATTTTTTTTTTACAAGTCAAATTTAAAGATTCATTTGGATATCGTGAAAGTTTTCATGTTTAATTGAAAAAATAACCCTACTTTAAAAAAATATTGGTATAGGTGAAACTTTTCATTTTATTTTATTTTATTTATTTTTAGTATAGATGAAACTTATGAAATACAAGAAGAAATATTTACTTTCTAATTTTGAAGAGAGAAAAAAAAAAGCTTTTCATAAATGCCTAATTCTCAATATGGAAATTAGTTGTTAAACATGAGTTTTGTTTGGAAGGAAAATAAATAATTCAGCAAAAAAAATTTGTAACCGATGTAATAAACACAGTCCATAAATATTTAGCAAAAATGGAAATTTAAAAGTAAAATGTCATCAATACCCTTTTTAGTATCGAAGGACCTGTCCGAAAATTTCCCTGAATTGTCAGGGCATTGTAGTCATTTGGTCACTCACAAACTTACCTTCACAAGCTAAGTGCTCCCTCTGGCAACTGAAACGGAAAAAAGAATCCTGCCTCTCCCCCACACAGCTTCCAAAAACCTCATAAACCCTCCTTTCAAAGCTCTCTAGAGAGAGAGAGAGAGAGAGAGAGAGAGAGGGAGAGAGAGAACTCTTTAATCCGAGTTGGAAACGAGATGGCGACTCAGCTCCCGGATGATTTCAAGTGCCCAATATCTCTCGAGATAATGTCTGACCCGGTTATCCTTGCGTCGGGTCACACCTTCGACCGAACTTCAATCCAACGGTGGCTAGACTCCGGTCACCGCACCTGTCCAATTACCAAGCTTCCCCTACCTGAACATCCCTGTCTTATTCCCAACCACGCGCTTCGTTCCTTGATTTCCAATTATACCCTCGTCACCCCGTCGAACTCGCAACCCTGTCCACAACCCCAAACCCTCTGCTCTGCTCTGACGTCCCCATCATCCTCTGTTAAGACCAAGCTCGAGTCGCTCACCCATCTCGCCAAGCTCACCAAGCGTGACTCAGCACTTCGCCGCAAACTAACCGAGTCGGGAGCAGTCCCTGCCGTTCTCAAGTATGTGGACTCGGGCGATCCGAGTTTACAGGAGAAAGCACTTTCTTTACTCCTCAATCTCAGCCTCGACGATGATAACAAAGTGGGTTTGGTCGCAGAAGGCGCAATTAACCGGGTCGTAAAAGTCTTACGTGTCGGGTCGCCCGATTGCAGAGCCATAGCTGCAACGATCATAACCAGCTTAGCCGTCGTTGAAGTCAATAAAGCGACAATCGGGGCATACCCAGATGCGATTCCGGCATTAGTTAGGCTTCTAATTGCAGGAAAGGGAAGGGAAAAGAAAGAGGCAGCAACGGCTCTTTATGCAATTTGCTCATTTGCTGATAACAGAAGAAGAGCTATAGATTGCGGGGCGGTGCCGATATTGATGGGGTTATTGGATTCGGGGCTGGAAAGGGCTATTGAAGTGTTGGGATTATTGGTGAAATGTAAAGAAGGGAGAGAAGAGATGATGAAAGTTAATGGCTGTGTTAAAGTTTTGGTTGAGGTTTTAAGGAATGGTAGTTCAAGAGGAGTTCAATATGGGCTATTTACTTTGAATTGTTTGTGTAATTATAGTGAAAGTTTTTGCTTCGAAGCAAGGAACGAAGGGGTTTTGGAAATTTGTATGGGGTTAGTGGAGGAAGAGAATGAGAAGATTAGGCGGTATACTTCGAGTTTGGTTCAGACTCTGAGAGGAAATCATGCTATTGGGTGAATGAAACTTGCGGTGTTGGAAATGGAGGTGAGTTGTTTTTATTTAGTTTTTTGGTTTTTTGTATGGGATGTTTAGAACGTGGGTCGATATTTTGTTGTACAAAAGGACAAAGGATTAGATTTTTGTATCTTTGTACATTTGAATAAAAGGGAGCATGATGGAAGGGAGGGCTTGTTGTTCTCCCTGGTTTTTAGGTGTTGTAGTGGAAAAAAAGAAGTTTCAAAATTTTGTTACTTGAATGATAAATTTGTATTGATTTAAAGCATGTCTACTAAGTCTTTGATCTCCTGGGAAGTTGGGAAACTTTTTTCTCTTAAAAAGAAATTGGAAATACAAAGAAATGTACTTTTTAAATCTCCCTATGTTGGTATTTCAAGATTGAATTATGAGATTTATTACCAGTTATGATTGTGATTGTTTTCTGATTCAATTGATTTGCTCATCTGTAGAACCTTTGCCTCATTTAGTTGCTATGTGTTCGTCAGGAATTTAATGCAACAAAATGCAGTATTTCCCCCTTTTACTAACCTTTAAAATGTTAATGATGCCTCTGGCTGTGTCATTGAGAGTTAAAAGTTTCTGGATTATAAGCTATATGGAAATTTCAGAAGAACATCTGTTTCATTGTATACTTTGTACCGCGAGCTGCTTTTGTCTGAAGCACATTGTTGAAGCCCTCAGACATTGAACGTTGGTGATGGGATACTTTGATCTGATCAAAATTTTATCTTGGTGTTTTATTTTCTCATTTTGCATGTTTTACTGATTTGAATATGAAATAAATTTGAATGAGATGTAATAGATATTTTTTGTACTTGTTATATTCATTTGCTGATGCCATGATCGTTTACATGACTATAATGAAGATGTTTTCAATGCTAAAAAAGGAAAATACAGGGATAACTGGTCTATTATTGCATATGTTTTTTGAATTCAACATTTGGGTTGTAAGTTGTCTCAAATGATAACTTTTGGTGGATTATGAAGATTACACTGCAGCCAAAATTGTACCTTGAGACTTTTCTTGTTGGTATAAGAAGAGAAGCTGATCTGATCTTGGTTTAGAGTATAAATAGAATGGATTTGTAACATTTGTAATGCCCAGAATAGTTTCTGTACATGTTTTGAGCTAGGAAGGAACTAGGAAGGCTGAGTGAATTAACCACTGTGGTCTTTGCAAAGCTTGTATCTTAAATTGCCATATCAGTTAGGTGTTAGGTTAATTTGGCTGTCTGGCTTTATGAGTTTGGCTGAGATGCCCTAGCAGACTGGAGCAGCTCGATTTTTGGTTTAAGGGTATATGGTACCTTTATTATGGATCACACACTCTCTAACTTGGCCAGGCATGGCATGCTTGAAACTTTGAGTTGATATAGGTTGAATGCCATTTAAATTGTAATGAACTGATTTGTTGTAGGCTAAAGCTTCATGATGAGTTTGCCGCTTATGTAGATATGGAAACTTTGAGTTGCAATTCTTGAAAATGGTCCGTAGGTTGAGAACCTATTAAAAGTGCCTGTGAAACCTTGAATTGAGCAAACCCCATTCCTCTTTACCTCTTGTGATCCTAAATATTTCTCATTTTTCACTATGCAACTTAAACTTTCTTTCTAACCTTTTGAGTATGGACATTGGTTTTGTTTGCCTGGTGAAAGTGGTTTTTTCCAAATGATTTGCTTGTTTTGAAATTGCAATGATTAATGTATTTCACTTTACCTTTGTTTTGCCAGCAATTTATTTCGTTAACATCTTATGATTGATTTTCGTAGTCCGACAGTGCATGATGTGTAAGTTCATAGCCGTTTATAGGGGCCTATGGAAGTGCACAACAACAAACAGTTGGATGAAATATTCGTGAGACACAGCTTTACAACTGATGCCTTCATTTCTGCCTGCATTCTATATTCAGCATGCAGATACATTGTGCCCAAAAATCATATGTGACAGACATGACATTTCATATCCACACCTCATGGATGTTTAAACATACCGTTAGGTAGGCAGGCCGTGCGTAGTTGGTAACTTGGTAGGTTTTTTATTGTTTGATTCTTCCTGGTTGAGTGCGGAATGCACTGCAGCTAATTAAATTCAATTAATACGAGGCTGTTTCGTTAAAGCCAAATTTGACTTGATTTCGTTATGTGAAGGGGCCTATGATAAGAAGTATATACTACTGTGTGGTCTATATCCGTGGTGTTGGTCTGGTTGCCCGCTACTGATCTTTCTCTTTCTAGCGTTCTTCCCATACAAAGAACAACTTTCTGGATGCGTATGTTTGTCTTTGTGCCGACTGATTTGGGGGTTTGAAACAGGACTGTGACTGGAAATAACTATCATTTTGTTACTTTTGTAAAGTGAAAATAATGGAGAACATGTTTGGGGAGTTTTGTCGAAGCATGCGTGTTAAAGTAATTGGAGAAAGAAAGGCATCAAATCGAAGTGAAATGTCTGCTGAAGGAAGCAAAGCATGTGCTTTACTTTCTGCATTTTATATTTTTATTGTTGTATTTGGCGGTCCAGCAAGCGGTACTTTTTCTCTTTTTCTTTCTTTTACTTTTGCTTGATGGGGACATAGCCTGAGTAAACAAACACCGAATCATCCAAGAAAGAGAGGAACAGATCAGAGTGAAATAAAATAAAGAAGGAGAAAATTCCTAGGCGCTTCCAATGAGATCGGAGATCCATCTACTCATTACTGCCTCCTCTTGAGGCAGCACTAGAGGAGCAGAAGAGGGCGCAAATCTTGCCTGCCTTTTCTTTTTCTGACCCAGACCAAAACAAGTTCTGACCATGCTTAGCAGCTAGCCCCTCCTATCTTTGTTGATCTTGGGTAGCTTGCCTGATGGGTGTGTCTTGTTCTTATGACAACCAACGAAGGCCACTTGGTTAGTCTTTTGGGCCTAAGAGGTCAATGACGAGAAGCATGACATGCATCTTTCTTCTTTGGGCTTGGAAGAAGTTGCGTTTCGAAGAAATGAAAAGTAAAAGTGAAATGAAAAATGGCAAGCAAATAGGCAGGGACAGAAAAGGAGTTTAGGCCTATGGGGCACCTAATGCGTTAATCATCCCTACCATGAATAACTGGATTGGGGCCATCAGGTCTTAACAGAAAGTGTGGACTTCAACATCAACCTCTTTTGACTAGTGCAGTTTCATCAATGGTGGTTCACCAGCCACACTATATACTACTTTCCCCCCCTTTTTTTTTTTCACAAGGAAGAGAGGTTGATTTATATGCAAAGTGTTTTTAGTGGTGATGCCAACTAGGAAGCAAGAAAGCTTCCACAAATGCTGTCATCTCCAAAGCCCAATACCATCCTAACCACCAAAAAGGCCAATTTGTTTATAGCCATGATGGTGAAGTAGAAGAAGGTTGTGAGGTCTTTGGGGTTTAGGGTTGAAGCAAAAAACATAACCAAATAAAAGAAAAGAAAGATCTGATTAGACGTTTGGTCTCTCTCCCTCCCTTAATTACGAGCAAATACTCTTCTGTTGGAATTCGGATCCCCCAAAGGACAAGGGCCATCCTCTAGAATGACTCCTGGAGCATAGCCAAAAAGCCATGATGTCTCTCCTAACTCAACATATTTGGTAGGTGAGGCCCAGGGAGACAGTCTTGGCACGTGCTATTCTCCCCACCAGTTCCATGGTCAAGGTGTTAATCACTTGGGGTAGAATTTGATCAAACATTAATTCGCAAAGGAAAATGGGTTTTAATTCCCTATATATATATATATATATATTCTTCTTCATACTTGCCATAGAAAGGGGCTCGCATACAACAAAAAGGAATGCAAGTTTATCATTGGGCTATGGGGACTGGCAGCTAGGAGTTGTTGTAAGATTTGAAAATGGTGGTCTTCATGATCTCATCTAACATGAAAAGAAGTGCAAAACAAGAGAGGAAAACGCAATCATAAACCTCACTCAAAAGAAGAAAAAGAGTGCATGCAAAGGGAGAAGAGGAATATTGTAGTAAGATGGAAAGGATGATGGATGATAACAATAATTAGAAGTATGGGGGGATTGTAATAATGGCTATTAGGAGTATAATACAAGTGCGTAAATGGGATGAAATTTGACAGGCGTGATGGGAGCGTTTGGTATTAAGAATATCAAAAGCATGCTTCAAGACAAAGGCCCTCGATGCCTGTTTAGATCCCTCTTAGAGACAAAGCGACAATGAGGAAAATCTCTAACCAACACATGACACCATGAGAAAATTACATCCTGATGACATCTTTATTTGTTTAGTTGCAATTAATCAATTTAGTTTACAGAAGTCTTGGAAAGCCAAAGACAAAATGGGAGAAAGAAAAGTATGGGAGTTGGTGCGGAACTTAGCAGCCGCCTGGAATCATCATAACAGCAACAGCCCAATCCAAGCTTAGTCTTAGCTTCTAACATTATAAACTTCTGTTTCTTTTTTTCTTGGTTAAGGAGGTTGGATTGTGCCATGATCCTGTCATACTGATATATTATTTGACTTGGCAATTCCTTTTGAGATAGGAAAACAAGAAAGTTACATAAATGTGGTGGCTATGACTTGGTATGAGCTCCCTATTCTAGACCGTTTGAAGGTTGGCTATGACTTCCCATTCTACACTGCATATAATATAAATTACAAGTCTATTCTTCTTTCTGAGAAACCCCAGAAGTGTTGATTTGGAAGGCAAAAGGTTTGAATCTTATTCTTTTAAATAAAAAAGATTGTGAACTAGTCAGAATTGAATCCCATAAATATCAGAAAGCTGTTACATTATTCTTATTTTCTTATTCCTATGGCAATAAATATCAGAACCATTCTTATTGAAGCAAATTACTTCTGAAACTCGATCTTCTTCATTGTTGTCCTTTGTTTCAATTATCAATTGATTCTTATCCAACAGTTTATGGCAAGTTTGGCAACAGCTCTGTCTTCCTTTTTGGTTACAGAAATCACTAAAATTGAAATATGGAAACCATGATTTACTTACCCAGAATGATATTCCATTTGATTTACTTGCCAAATTTGAAACAAACCATTCGATTTGACAGGATAAGCATTAAAAAGATGTAATTAATTAGCCAGGCTAGCTATGATTCTAGTCATAAATTGTCGAGTGAGAAACCAATCTCCTCTTAGAATTCAACTGGAAAGCTGTTACAAATCTCTTCCCCTTTCCTCGCTGGATAAAAGTCAAGACCAGTCATTACGGCGATTTCCCATTCTAAATTCAACACACAGCTGGTACAATCTTATTTGTTTTGGAAAATTACAAGCCAAAGTTTGCAAGCAAATTTGCCATGACGTGTTGCACCAGATAATAACCATCCCAAGACCTCCACAATTCTGAAGCTGTGATAATACACAAAGTCAATGCCCTTGACCCTCTAACCGATATATCAGATCCGATGCATCAACCCCAACACATGTCCAGAAACAACGGATCTTTTCTGTAAAAATTTAACATAAGATGCCAGGTCATTGACATAAAATAATGTATCAGGATGTGATACAATGTTCCTGCAGAGTTACAAAATAGTTTTAAATTTTTCCTCGTGACTTAAAATTGTATGCTTTCCCTATCAGATGAGCTGGTTGATTGGGGAAAAGAGGTACAAGGTTGCCACTGCCATGGGTGATGGTGAAAGAGGTTGGTGTTCCCTTTAATAAAAGAACTGACCAGTTGTCTGTTGTTACTAGACCAATAGTTCTTCCTCTCTCTGTCTTTCTCCTTCTCTCTCTTTTTCATCCCTAAAAGGAAAAACTGCAGAATTGTATGATTCATATTCACATTTCTGTAATAAAAAGATTCGTATAACGATTTATATGTTCAGGATATTTCTAATTTAATAGATAAATGAAATTTTTTTAGTGAATAGAAATTACAAACTTATCTTATGACATGAATTAATGAAAAGAAAATTATAGAAAGAATCAATGTATTATAAGAGTACGTAATTTAATATTATATTAAAATTTTAAGACAAGAATCAATCTTAAATTTAATTAATAATAAATAGAGAAATTAATAAATCTAAAATATTCTTAATTTAACAAATAAAATATTTGTTTTATGTTTTAGTAGAAGTAGAATAAATAAAATCTTATAAGCAATCAATACGTGTACATGACATATCTCATTACATTTATTTAGGAGATTAAAATATTAATTTGTGACTACAACTTGTAGGTTGCCAAGTCTTTAATTAATACTAATTGTTTGGCAGATCTTAGGATATTTCTAATTGGACTTGATTATATTTTATAATAACTATAAAAATACTTAATATATATATATATAAAATTACAAATCACATGGAAGAAAAAGATAAATAATAATAATAAAAAGAATTGTCGACCCCCAGAAAATTAGCCCCGTAAACCACGAGAAAAGAATTGTCCCAAAATCTAGAACGTCACTATAAATAAAGCGCTCCCTTCCTCTGTTCGTTCCTCCTCCTCTGCCTAAAACAGAACATTTTCGTTAACCACAACAAACAAGTTTCTCCTTTGCCTTCAAAAGCATCAAACAAGTTAACCCACAAAGAACATGGCCACCAAAGTCTACATTGTGTAAGCATTCTAATCTTGTTTCTTCTTGGGTTGCTCAGTTTTTTTTTTTAATTTTTTTGTAGCTGGAGTTGAATCTTTTGCTCTGTTTCTTGCCCTTGCTCTGCCATGCATTCTTTCTTGCGCATTTAGACATCAGGTTATGAAGTTTCTACTTTTCTTGTGAATTAGATAATCTGGGGTTCGGTCTTTTTAGTGAATAAATCTGTTAAAATTGTTTGAATTCTTTTTGTTCCTTCATCTTACTCTCTTCTTTTCTCAGTTAAATGGAGTTTCCAGCTGTGTATTGTTTTGTTTAATGATATTTTTCTGAAAGTGAGAGATCAGTTATCTCAAATAAAAACCATGAAATAAATTGGTTTCAAAAGATTTGATGTTGTTTATAGATATGCTGAATCTGCATTTGCATCTTACAGAAACAAATTCAATCTTTTTCCTTTGCCAATCCCGCTGTCTTTACAAGATTTTCTTATGATAATCCAGAATGTTTCTTTTATTTGATGGTAATGAAGACTGAGATGTTCCTCCCTTCTTTAGTTTTCCTACGATCCAACCTTAATCAGAACCAAACATAGGGGAAACAGAAAGAACACTACGGTAGAAACTGATTAATCTGTTCTCTTATGTGGATAGGTGTTTGGTTAATTCTTTACACGTGAAAAATGTTTATTTACCCAATCCAGAAAACAATGGGAAAAGGCTCCTTTGTGCATTTTTGGTGTACTTTTGATGGAGTCTCCATGAGACTAAAAGTTAATGTTTTCTTCTTCATTCGTTAATCTATGTTGATGTGTACAGTACATAATTTACATAATATGAGTAAGTCGATTCAATCATCAAAGTAAGAATTGCAAAATCAAAGAGATTGAGGATTTTAATGGGGCATTATGCTGTGAATTAGCAACAAACCAAATAAAGTGATAGTGAAACATGACCAACCATTGAAATTATCATTAGGAGAAAACTGCCAGCTCTTTTCTTTTGAAGCATGTGGCCCCATCACCCATTATTATTGTAGTCCAGTTTCCTTTTGTGCATATAATTTTGAAGTGGCTTTCATTTTCATGGCTTCCAATGCTTACAGATAAGCTTGTAACAGTGTTTCAAGATTACCTTTTCCTTTTTTTTCATCTACAAACAAATTACTTATATATGTATTGTGCTGTCGATGTGGCAGAACTAGTTTTATGCGTGCCAACATAGAAAACAAATCACCCAAATTGTCTTCCCTTGCTGACAGGGTTATCCCATTAAGCACTTTAAAATGCATTTGCACCGTGCAACTGTCTCTCCCACTCTTGTAATTGGCTTTGATCGATGATTTTCCTGGATACAGTCTTGCAAAACTGTTGCATTGTTAGGATACATACCTACCAAAAGTATTAGTTTACCTTTTTTTGTGTAGTAACTTTAAAAAACTACTTGGGTCTTTGCTGCAGTTACTACTCCATGTATGGACATGTTGAGAAGCTGGCACAAGAGATTAAGAAAGGAGCTGCATCTGTTGAGGGAGTAGAAGTCAAACTCTGGCAGGTCTGATTATCTTCACAATGTTATCTTCTTGAATTCAAGTTCAGATTGATATGCAATGAAGAAATTTTGGAATTTTTGCCTTGTAATATTGAAATAAGCATTTTTGAGTTAAGACAGGATCAATTGACTAGTACACATGTTTACATGGTAGAGAGTTTACAGTCAACTATTTAGGGATTCTGTTACTGATTCATGGATTTGTTGGATTTTAAATTAGGTACCTGAAACACTACCAGAGGAAGTCCTTGGAAAGATGGGCGCACCACCAAAGGCTGATGCACCTTGCATTACACCCAATGAGCTTGCTGAGGCTGATGGTGTTCTTTTTGGCTTTCCCACTAGATTTGGGATGATGGCTGCACAGTTTAAAGCGTTCATGGATGCAACTGGTGGTCTATGGAGAACCCAAGAGCTTGCAGGCAAACCTGCTGGAATTTTCTACAGCACTGGCTCCCAAGGAGGTGGACAAGAGACTACCCCGTGAGTATATATTTGCATTGTAATTTATAGAAAGTATTACTAAATAGCAATTCCAAAAAAGTTCTATTAATTCTTTTAATGTTTTGTCTTATTGGAAAAATTTGCAGCTTAACTGCAATCACTCAACTTGTTCACCATGGAATGATCTTTGTGCCCATTGGATATACATTTGGTGCTGGTATGTTTGAGATGGAGAATGTCAAGGGTGGAAGCCCTTATGGTGCAGGAACTTTTGCTGGGGATGGCTCGAGGCAGCCATCTGAGCTGGAGCTAGCGCAGGCTTTCCACCAGGGCAAGTACTTCGCTGGCATTGCAAAGAAGCTCAAGGGAACAGCTTGATTTTCACTCGTGAAGCTACTAGTATTCAGCTCTATAAACATGTTTCCTTTTTTCCTTTTTCTTTCTTTACATTTTACTTGTTCCAGCTCTTTGGTCTCCATAGAATAATATAAGCTTCGCTGGGATGGATTTGCTGTCACAAACTTACAGTGTTTCTTCAAGACACTAGCATCTTATTAATGACGAAACTTTTCATTGATTTAAACGTTTGTCATTTGCCATATTGACAATAGCAAAATTCCTTCCCTATTGCTATAATGAAATCAGGAGAAATCTACTGGAATTCGTATTTTACTTAAACCTTTAGAATCCACAATCCATGCTTTGAGGTGCAAGTTGCCTTCATGATCATTCGGATTTTACTTAGATTCAAAGCATGCATCAATGATTTCACATTGGCCGATTGCAAGGTCATACAAAAAACTTTCAAACGACAGGTTCCTGGTATGCCACCTGCATAACATGGACCATGACTTTCTCCTGTGGACCAAATGATTCCCGCGTTCCTCTTAGAAACTCATTCGATTATCCCGGAATCTAAAGCAACATTTGGTCCTGTTTCAAGATAATGCTATCACAGCCGAGTAGCTGGTCCAGCCGGTCCAGTGTCTAACTAGAGGGATCATGCTCTCCATTTGCCCATCTTAACCAATTGCTTGTAACTATGAGAATAAACGAGTTTATTTGTTAATTGGTTCGACTTAAAAGATATTTAGAGTTGTTTATGTAGTAGTTAAGTAAGCTACTGGGATCTAGTCTGAACCCAACTGGATTTTTGTTTGATCATGATTGACGTGTAATCAAATCTTCTAAGTAAGTTTTAACTCTCATGTCAAATCAACTCGAGCTGATTGGATTGCACAACAATCTTGTCCAAAAATTTTCTACCTAGGTTATGAGCAAGAACCTGGGCCTATCTTAATCCTTTACTGACTGGTCCGTTACTTCTTTTAGTCGGAGCCTCTTTTGGGACACAGTCTGTGTTGATTGCTGCCCAAATATCAAGCAAGCCCAAATCCAAAATCTATCAGAATGGGAGCAGTCCAAAGCCACTTGACGACAATAAGGTATGGTCTCATCTCCTAAAAATGTAACATAACTACTGATGCTTCCTTTTCGTACAGGAAACTTCCAGCCCATTCTCATATCGAAAGCTGCCATGCAAACAGAAGCCAAAGAGTGATGAGACATGATGAGGGGTCATTTTTTCCATTTTCGGGCAGGGGTGATGAATGAATTGAAAATCAAGTCCTTGTTAATATCTTTGCCCATTTTCGATCTCTTTTTTCTTTGATAATAAATATTGGGATGGAGAATTCAAACATGGAATCATTTCTCTTCTTTGTTTATGGTGTAATGTGTGAACTCACAAGCTATCAGAATTTTAACGATCTTGACTACTCCTATGATAAATTAGATCAAAACTTTCACAAGCCAACTTTCTCGACATGAACAACAATGCCATCCCCCTTTTTGGGTGCAATTGGGAGTCTGAAAATTCTTAGGGGAGGACTCAAACTCTCCTTTGAAATGGGGAACATTTCCTAGAGGTCAAAGAGCTTGACAAAACAAGAGAAGAAAAAGTTGGCGACAAACCCCTTTTCTTTTCGTTTTTTTTTCCCATCAACAGCTTGAAAGAATCTGTAATGGTGTAACGAAAACTTCCCTGGATGGCTATAAGCCATATGGGTTTGATTCGTAAATGGTGTACAAAGATTAGATTCAAAGGAGAACGAAAAGAAATGGCCCTTTCCAATAGAAAAACTTGAAGTAGAAGACACCTGTTATTGAGTTTTCCTTTGATTAGCCAAAACAAGAAAAAAGGGCAAAGTATATAGCTAAAGTTGATAGATCATAAGGGAGTCACATACTTTATTAACATCAACCAATGATGCCTTGATGCTCTACCCTTTTAGTATTCCTTTTCATGTTTCTGTCTTTGTATATTAAGTAACACCTTAAGGAAGAAAAGAAGAAGAAGAAGAAGAAAAATTAAAGATTAACAAGAATTGAATTCCCATGGAGTACTCGAGAGTGGTACTGATCCCGATGCTTTAAGTCATGGTATAATACCCATCAGCCGATCAATTCAAAAGTCACCCAAAAGTTAAAGACGACATACCAATCAAAGAAAATTTTCTTTTAACAAATTGAAGCACTTTATTTTATTGTTCATGATTAGTCACTTGTCACAGGCGATTCTTCAACCTTAAGCTTCCTTGAGCGTCTAGGATACTTGATTGATTAAGTTTCTTTAATCGGTTCTCTGATATATATAAATTATTGTTCATATCCAAGTCTTGGAATTAGGATATATCTGCTTGAAAGCAACAGTTTGATGAAATAGTGACTTCAAATGGCTGGTTTAATGGATTCTCCTGTGATCTGTCATGTGTCTACATGAAGTACAAAAGGTTAAAGAAGATGGCTTTGAAGTTGATTTATTACTTTAAACATTTACAGTATTGGTCTTTAACAGATGAGATTGTTTATGTTATCTTCTCCAATATGAGTACTATCTTAGTTCTTGTTCCTTTTCTTCTCTCTTTTGGGTTTGCCATTTCCCCAACTAGAGTTTTTTAATCTAATTTCAATTTGGGTTAGGATTTTTAAATCTATTTGGCAAATTGGCAGGACACAAATGATATTCAAAATCATATATACACTTTTACAACCTAATCACAAGAGGGTATGTGACAACAATTGTAAGTCAAATTCCTCTTCCTTTTTCCACTAACCTATGCTGCCAAAGGGAAACAAGAAGACCAGTGACCCATCTCCTATGTGAATCTGATCAGAAACTCTTTGGTTTTGAAGTCGAAATCCATGTTTTAGCTAAACACCAATAGTTTAGAAGTGGAGACAAACTGAAGATCATATCATCTTTAAAAAGATAATTCTAATAATTAAATTCGAGACTTTTAATTCATAATGTAAAAAAGATTATATTTCATTGTGCATGTTACAACTCAAAATTAAATGAATTTTCGTGTATTATATAAAAGAAAACTCCATTTGATGTTTTTATAATTTCTCAAAAGATATTATTACCTTAACGACAATAATGGTTTACTATTGCATTATGCTTTGCTCCTATTCATGTAGGCTAAAGTTGTTGAAAAACCCACATCACAAAACTGAAGAAAAAGTTATGCTAATCCAAAGTAGTGTAGAGCTAGCATATAATGATTACAAAGAGATTATGTGTTAAGCAAGTTTTAGCAAGTGATGAAAGAATTCTTAATTGCAACTATTAGGAGCAAGTCAATTACCGTAATGTCACATAAAATGAATAGCTTTCATAAGTATATCTAGTACCCACAACAACACAAAAAGGATCCTAGCTCATTAATTATCTTTGCCTGCCTCTTATTAGACCAATAATAATAATAAAAAAACCCATAGCTAGCTTGCCCATTGTTGCCTTATCTTCAACATGGAATTAAAAAAATGAATGAAAATATTTCACCCTTAGTGTGGCCAGTACTCCTCCATACAAAAGCATGCTTCATGCCCCCTCAATGGGATAAAATTTTCTTTCTCTCTCTCTTTCATTCAAATAATGAAGAAACCCTAAAAGCAGGAACAGTGGGCCGCCCTCTGACTTCCACTAGCACATTTCCAAAACTATTTTAAAGTAAAAAAGAAAAAACACTGAAAAAGTTGAAAACTCAATCAAATGATCTCCACTCACTCCGACTCTTTGAACAACAAGAAATTCCAAAATAATATAGTCTCTTTTTTTATTTAATTTTCTTCTTTTTTTTTTTCCTTCTGTTCTTACAAATGATAAAGAAAGGGGGGGTGGCTGCCCTATACAACATACTCAACAGGAACAAAAAGGGCTCTTAAAGTTAAACCCCATCTGCTAAATTCAGCTACTAACATCAACAACATGGATTATAACAACAAACAAAAATAGAAATAATCTAAGTAGTATGAGTTAATTCATGTCGATTTTCGCTGAATTTAGCACTTGTTCCTGTTGATATCACCTCCAAATGTAGTTAATAGTACTTAGTTTACTGAAAAAAGAAGAAGAAAAAACCTATGCTTATCCTTTTGTTTTTTGTTCTTTTTAAAGGGTTGGGTTCCTAATCATTTGCTAGCTATACATCATTCTGCTTGTACTGGGCCAGCAGTCCAGCACATCGTCGTCTCTGTCCGTCTTTGGAGCCTCACCTTCTTTTTCTTTGTTTTCTTTAGCTTTTTCTCAAGACCGGTACAGCAAGGCAATTGTAGCCTTCTAAGTTTCCTTCACTTTTTCTTTTTGTTCTAAAAATTGAAGTTATGGCAGGGGCTCTGATAATTAATCATATATAATCTACTAGCTAACAGTTGTTGTACACAACTCCTTTAGCTTCTTTTATTTAGTTGTCTTCTCTACCTGAAAGTTCCACCAAACGTTGGCGTCCAGAAGTCAGCTGTGGTCTCGCTAGCAACTGGGAATGTGCTGGAGATCGGCACCAGACACAGCCCCCGGCTTCTTAGATCTTGCTTTGGCCCTTCTGGCTCCATCAACTTATCAGGACTCTGCAAAAACAAAGTACACAACCATGTTTTCAAGTATCAGAATGAGACAATTACTGCATTATTTATTCAAATAGTATAATTGGTATATAGTTATTATTATCATCAAAGTCTGTTTTTTTTTTTTAATACCTGTTGTTGTTGTATGGAAGCTGCTGCTGCCTGCTTCATATATGGTGTACTTAAAACCTGAAATTACGTAAAAATAACATTATCTTTCAGTCCATATTGAGAACTCTCTAGATAGTATGCTTGTCTTCATCTAAACAATATGTTAGTGTTTACTGATTTGATCTTATTTAAAAAGAAGACGATAGTGGAACATACATTTACTTGGTCATGGAGGAACTTGATGTATTCAATGGCTTCATGGAGAACAGAAGCAGTATCAGTCTGAAAAAAAGAAAAGGGTAAGGTACACATTAACCCAAAAGCCAAGATAAAAAGTAAGAGAAAGCTCTCAATTATACTCTTCCGAGTACATCAAAAAGAAGAAAAATCCAAAAATTCACCTTTCCGAAAGGTGAAACCAATTGCTGGAGCGCAGTGATTCGGTCCCCTAGCTTCTCTTTCCGAACCTGAACATAAAAAAATTTCTTAGTTTAAATTTATCATCTAAGTTTTTTTTAATAAATGATAAGAGCCCACCAGTAAAAGGAACTTGGGTCAAGATTT